GTTACACCATCAGTTGAAACATCAAGCATGTTTCTGGATAATGAGTAGGACCGGTCTAGATGTACAGAATTTTTTTTTACAGAACTCTTACAGATAACACACGTTGACGGGGTGGGTGGTCTATTTTTTGGAATAAAATATTCACTTGGGGCCCACTTCCATGTGAGATTTCTGGGAAATTTCTGGCAATAGTTGGTCTGTACACTTGGATTTTTCCTAATGAGTAAGGGCCACTCTACATCATCACTTCCCACTTCTGCACCTGGATTGTTGTTGGATGGTTACGTGTCGAAACCAGTGAATTGTCTTCTTCAAACGTCCGTATTTTAGATTCGCGTTCACATTTTTTTCATATTGAGTAAGCTAAATCGAACAAATATTGCACTTTGCACGGTGTGAGAGCGATCAATAGTTTTGTGCACGGGAAAGTACTCTCCTGCACTGAAAAAAGTGACGAAAACTTTATGCACTTTAGCTTTTGACCTTTGTCCTTGATTGGAAGATTTTCACATCTTTAGTATGGGGTATAATGGATTTTAGGAAGAACTGGATAATGCTATCCCTGTATTAGATAAGATTAGTTATTAAACCAATTAAAGCAATAGGAAAACCTGTATATTTCCAACTTATAGGTCAGAGTCGTGTAACTTTTCACACTTTGGCTGAAACATTTTCATTACAATGAAGCACTTATTCAGAATTCTCCCTCTTGATTTACTCTAGGAGCCCATCTGATTGTAAAGACGGAATTGAATTGCCTAGAAAATGAATTCTAGAGAATTGAATTACCTAAAATTGGTTTTCTGAGAATTGTAAATTATTGTGTTTGATTGGTATAATTTTCCACGTGAAAAATGTTGAAATCAAAGTGTTTTTTGGTGTTCGTTTGGTTTTGTTTTACATGAAAATTGTCAATTAAATGGATAGATTTTATAGGTATTGGGGATTAAATTTATTTCTATTGTCAACACACAAAAAAAAAAAAAATTCAAAAAAATCATTCGTTGTTCGTTTGGCTTTGTTTTAGATGAAAATTACCATTTAAAGGGAAATTTTTTTACAATAATTCTTAGAATTTGTAAAAAAAAAAAAAAAAAAAAGAAAAAAAAAAAGGAAAAAAAAGAAAAAGAAAAAGAAAAAGCACACACCATATATGGTGGGAATTGGTTTTCCTTAAAAACCAAGAAAAGTCCAAACTTCAAAATAGCCAAGAATTCAAATTCCATAGAAAAAAAATGTATCAAACACCTAAAGTTAGAAAATCCAATTCCAATTTCATTTCCACCCTAATGTGTACTCAAGTTCAAAATTTGATACATTATATTGGACAATATTTAGGTTCGCCTCAATTCGTCATTGGCAGTTGGGGGTGCTAGGTTGACATAGCTCGTCCTTGGAAGTTGATACCTTAACCCCAATTTGTCCTTGGAAGTTGATACATATAATTAACTGACCACAATTGAGGTGCTAGTTGGTTAGACAGGAGATTGAAATATTTGAGTTAATTCTAAGTGAGGCATCTTCTTGATAAGTCTTAACTCTTAAGTGTGTTTTAAACCAAGCCCGATCCTTAGATATCCTTCTCACCATCTTTTAACTTGTTAAGAGTTTTTGTGTAGGAAATGTGAAAATTTGGTTTAGATCAATCAAATTGATAAAATAATTGAGTTACTCGAGCGACTCAATTTGACTAAATGTCAAGTTATTTGAGAATAAGTTCAACCAACTCTATTAAATAGTCAAATTATGTCTATTTGGGATGTTAACATTTGTCATTTATGACTAGGGTTAAATTTGTCTTCTAGAATTGTAATAGCAGACCTAAAAGAACACGTTAGAAAATGTCGATCTAAAATTAATAGGGTTTTCAATTTTGGGAAAATTGCAGAGGGTCCCAAACCTTTCATTTGGGTGTATTTAAAGATGGGTATTGGTGGATTTGCTTGAATTGAATGATTGTTTTCTTGATTTCAATGAGTATTTTCTTACATGATTTGTTTGAATCGACTGGGTTTGGTTTGTTATTTTGCGGGGTGGGGGTGGCGTGGTGGGTTTGGATAAGATGCAGTTCAATTTTATTTAATTATTTAATTATAGAAATATAAAATTTTCATTTTACCCATCATTTAATTTGTCAATTTGAATCAAACATTTAATTTAAGGGTTGACTAACGGATGAGTGGATGAAATCTTTCAAATGGACTCAAGCTGCAGTAAAAGTTAAAGGTATGGCACGTGGCCACAAACATAAAAGGTTAAAGTATATTCTACAGTAAAATAAAAGGATTGGGACCTCCGCTACAATTTTCAACCTTCATGACCGAGCCCTTGTTTGGCTCCCATTATTTGGAGTTATAATATGGGGAATAGTGTTTTTTTTTTTTTTTTTAAATTGGATAGTTGTGAAAGAATGAAATTTTTTTGATTTTTCTGTAATATTATTTTATTGAAGATTGTGATGTTGAAAATAGGAAAGAGAAAAATTTTAATTAAATTGAAAATTTTAAAAGTAGACAATGAGAGGTTGAATCAAAACTCGAATTACATGACGTGTCCCGGAGGTAGGGTCGGGCTCCACCCTGCGAAATTGCACCACTAATTCATCAAAGGACATTTCATTAATGAGGAATGGGTCCCAACTTGGTGGCTTCCCAAAGTTTAAAATAGTTTCATTTGCTTCACGTGATTTTTCAGTAATTTCAAATAGGCATTATAATGATGTGACTAATTTTCCATTATTTATAAAAAAAATTATTATATTTCAATTGGTCATTTTGATTCTTGTTTCCTACATTTCTCACATATATACGAATGATCATCTTCTGCATTTGAAGACTTCGAGTCGAGTAAGACATAAAGAATGGTGACAAATGAAGCTAATAAACTTAACTGAAGAGTACATAAATGTCATTATGACTCATTTATCGTTACATTTATTAAAAGATTGTTTAAAATTGAAATGAAAATAGAAGTGAACAACCATTGTAAACTTACTAGCAAAATTACAGTTACTGTTTATCCAGATTAGAACTATGTGCAAATCAATCAAAAGTTGACACTCGACGTAAATTTGGTAAAAATCCAAAATGAAAATCAGTTGGATTGTGGAGCTAGCAAGCATTCTTTGCTTCTAACATGTTGCCTGTGTCAATTGATGAACTTCTTGTATGTATCTTTGCCTGAATACTTGGGAGGAATATAAACTAGATAGAGGCTAACGAGCAATTTCGGATTTCGTTGAGTAACCTAATTGTTGTTGCTCTATCTCCCAACTCAGCTTCGACGCAACTCCATTATGCTTGGGAATGTAATCCTGTTCGTACACCATATAAAATAATCTTCATTATTACACTTAATAGTTATTAAGTCCCAATTTGATTTAGTTAAAAATAAGATTTTTATTCGATTTTACCAAAAGTTGATGAGACACATGGTTGAAAAGTTGATAAAAAATATGACTCTCACGAAACGTGGTTAAAAGTGAACCTTAAAAAATAAATTTTGATAAAAGTTAATGAAATTTGTAGTTATAAAATTGAAATTCTTGCGAAATGTATTTGTAATTAAAATTAATTATTAATTTTAATTTAGATTTAAATTTAGATATACATGAGCTTAACTCACCCTAACATTGAATATCTGTCAAGTCGCTAGTCGTGGCACGTGGGGGAGATGGGGCAGGGGGGAAGTGTACTTGGATGGTGGTGTACCTCAAGCTTGGACATAAGTTCATGGGCAGTTGGGGCAGAAACAATTATATGACGGGCAGATGGTGTAATAAAACCTTCATCAACAGCTTTGTCTATAAAAGACAGAAGTGAGTTGTAGTACCCATCTACATTGAGCAGACCTACCTGTAAATGGTACAAACAAATATTCAAATCCCTTTCTATTCTTATATAGAAATTGTACGAGTTCCGTGTAAAAGAGAAGTGCGAAAGATGTTTGTTTATTGTCTTGTCCGATTTAACGTATCGAATACGATCCAATTACGAACCGGTTTATCGTGAATTCCGAGTTGAGCCCAAGTGATGACTTCTAGGAGTTCCTCCAATGTACCATAGCCACCTGGGAGTCATACAACATTAATTTTCCCACAGTAACTGATAAGAAAGGTTTTGCTTTGCTTTTTCCATGATGGCTAACATGTCAAATCCACTTTGACATATTTTAGTTAAAGCAACTAGGGACAATTGTAACAAATTCTTAAATTAATTATTTCCATATGCAATTTAATTAATAATACAAAATTAAAAATTAGAAAATAATTACCTGGCAAGGCTATGAATGCATCAGCTTGCTTAGCCATTTCTGCCTTCCTTTGGTGCATACCAGATACTGCTTTCACTTCTCCAACAGGTTCTCCTGTGATCTGAATTCATAATTATGGGTTATTTAATTAATTATCTCTAAGATTTTCGGGAATCAGTGAAATGGAAACACTCAATTAACTTGAAAAATAAGTCTTTCTACTCCCGTTAGATTTTCCAATATTGAGAATTAAGAGAGACGTACTCAGAGTTCGGGATATATGCCAAAGAGGACAAGACAAATTCTATGAAGAAAGCTCAACATCAAGTCATATGGTACATATTCACACGAACCTGACCACATCAATGTGCATTATTGATAGTAATATTTTCATAAAGAAAAGAAACAAATTCAATTACCTCTCTGGGCATCAGAGTTCTGGGAATCACCCTGTAAAAATTATTACAAAAATAAATTAAACTGAAATATATGCTTGAAATTAATTAAAACATAGACAAAAATATATATATAAAAAATGAGTACCCTAACACGTGGCGACCACCATTATATACAGATTGGGAGATAAGACCCATTAATCCAACACTTCCACCTCCATAAACCAAGTCGATGTTCCTCTCAACCTGTCAATTATTATTTTATTAATTAATAAGCATTTTTTGCATTAACACGCAATACTATTTCAATGAGAAAAATATATTATAATTGAGGGACTAAATTAAGAAACATTTCACGTTAATCTTGCTGATCTAAACAATAATCTTGTTTCTTAATTATTCCTATATTTTAGTCCAATTATTTCAAATAAATAAACAAAAAGATATCTGGTTTTTATTATACCGTTCTACCGTTCCCATGATCAACCTTTATCCCATAAAATTCTAGTGAATTATCCATTACAAAAATCCTAATTCTGTAGGTTTCTGCAAAAA